TCCAAAAACGCTGAAGTGCTGGGCCAGTTTTTCGACTGAGATTCTGGACTCTTAAGATGGGTTTCTATTCTTGAGAATTCTGAGACTTTTTCTTTGCTTTTCAATTTTTTGCCATTTTTAATTCAGGGTGGTTAGTGAATTTTCTATTGATTCTTCTTCTTTTTCCAATATTACCTGTAGGGTGTCCAAATGGGGTTTGGAATGGCACCAACTCCATTAAAATTTTTTTTTTTTTTGTTTCTTGTTCTGCTTTCTCTTTTAAAGATTTTTAGTAATGGTTTTATCCCTTTTAAATTGAGTTGTTGATGACTCATCTCTTTCTTGCTTGCTTTTTTTCTTTTGTCTTTTTGAGAGAGGGTCTCATTATGCAGTTCAGACTGGCCTAGAACCCAATTTGTAGCCCAGGCTGCCCTTAATGCACGGCTACCCTCTTGCTTCAGCCTTCCAAGTGCTGGGATTACTGCTGTGCAGCATCACACCTGGATTCATTTCTTTTAAAAACTATAATTGATTAACATGTTGAAGATCTAGAAGACATTACAAGTATGATTTCACTGTTAGTTTTATTTAAAAACATTTTCAAATACCATTCATTTTAAAGTAATTATAAAATAGAAATATGCACTTGTGTAATGCATTAAGAATTTTTTAGTATTATTAGTTTTCTGTCTAAAATGAATTTTGATGGCCAGATGTCTCTGTCTGAGGCAGGTGGGTGACCCTCTCTGAGGCTGATTTATATCCCCAGCCTGTAGACTTTTGGACTACTTGCCATTTCCTCTGTGTAACTATTTTCTTTGACTTTTTCTAAGCTTCCTAAATCAAATTTCATCTTTTTGCTTTGCTCTTTCTTTGTTCTTCTCTGTCTAGCTTCTGACGTTGTATTCTTTAGAAGTTATTCCTTGGCCCACTGATGCTTTCAGAGAATATGCATAACTGGAATAATCTATATTACATATAGAAGTAGAAAGATTAGGGTGTCAGAGGAAATTATATGCTCAAGTGTAGTTGTGACAATTATGGGCTTTTTAAAGAGGGGAATGTTTGTATTTATATATGTGAGTCAAGATTAAGCAAGAAATCTGTGCTAGAAATTTAGATACTGAAATATCCACAGAGCCCCCAAATTTTAAAAGTTGTATTCCTACCTATTGCATATATTTCATGCATTTAATATCTGAGCTCTTGCACAAGAATCCACCGTTTACTAGGCAGACTCATCTGAATGTTCCAGAGATACATGATTTTTAGTATGTCCCAAGCTTCATTAATCCTTCTCTCTTTCTTGCCCTTTCTTTTTGTATATTCCTATTCCTGTCTTAAGTGTACCATATCATCCTTTGATATCTCCTAAGACTTTGATCAAAACTTCCTGGAAGTCATTCTACAGGTTCTGTTTTTCCTCATCATCTATAATCTGTCATTGATCAAGGACTATAGATTCCATCTTCTGATTAGTCTTGTGTTTAATCTATTCACTCATTTTGTTTACAATACTTTCAACTGAAAATACTGGCAAACCTGACTAAAAGTTGTGTAAACATCAAAAGGCTTTTGTCACTGTGCATAGAAGAGATTCTGAAGTCAGGATGTTCCCACGGTGAGTCCCAGAGTAATAGGAGCTCTGGGATGGGTTTTCTGTGTTTGCTTCTGTCTTCCTCTTAAAGCTGTGTATAGCAATGTAGCAATAAGTACCACTTTCTAATTAGTACAGATAAGCCAAAATTTTGTTGTTGAATTCCTCAATATTTTATGAAGGTGGAAAATCTTTCCTAAGAAATCTCCCCGCCACCTCTGGCAGCTTTCACTCAGGTCCCTTGAAAAGGATCGAGTCACACAGACAGTCAGGCTCCTCCGTCTCTTACTCTCTAGGCTTCTGTAATCAGTAGTGGCCTCTCCCTGGAAGGGAAGAAGGAAAAAAGGGGAGAAAAACATTGCTGGGTGTCGGTCATGGTCTTCACTTTTTCCTCAAGTCTCTCTGTTCCTGCTGAATTTCAGGATTTTATGCCTGGCCTGCACTGTTTTAATCAATTCTTGGATTTTCTCTTTGCTGTTCCTGTCTTCCATATGAAGTTAACATCAGGAATATTAAGAACAGCGTTATATTTCTTTATAGTTTCTTTTTCAACAATTTCCACTTTGGTAAGTTTTTTGAATAAATTAAATTATATCCATTCATTAGGAAAGATACATTTAGAACCTGAATCCATAGTTATAGCTGTCATCTAGAAAGTAAAAATAAGAATCCACAGCTTCTGAAAATCCAAGGGATGGTGGTAGCTATGCACGGAGTGGTGCTGTGTTTCCTGGGTCAACAGAAAAAGTGCCAGTGGACTGCTCAGTTCTGGGCCCCTGGGGGAGGGTATCACTCCTAAGGTATTTGGCAGAAACTTAGTCATTTATATTTTATAAGAAAATGATATTGACACAACACATTTTCTTCATGGGCACATCCAATGTGTTTAAACATATTTTAAATAAAATCATGTATTTAAAGCAGAATTGTGCTTAAAAGGATTGTTGTTGTCATTCTCTTTGGAAAAGAATCTTTTTGTAATGTGAATAAGTTCAGATTTAAGAAAAATGTTTTCTGAAAGCAACGAACATCTTGATTATGTATTTTTAAAATATATCATGATATATATATATTAGATCATACATATATAGAGAGAAATGCAATATAGCATGTTTTTATAAAAATGTTTGCAAAGAACATGAACAGTTTTTGCATGCGACTCTTTTAAAAAATGTTATAGCCTTATTTTTGCTCTTTTTATATCATGACAAGATCATTTAAGTATCACACTTTGTTTAGTCTTATAATTTACTCATATATTATTTTATGCATGTATGGAAATCATTATACATAAGTACAGATGTTAAAATGATGTTAATGGTCTAGATATAGTATTTATGACTGGCTGATATATACAATATCTGTATATGAGATATACAATGTTTTTACAGAAATGAGGTTATAATATTTACATTGTTCTACATCTCACTTTTTATTTATATTTTGGGTTTGCTTACTATTGTATAAAAAAAGTTAGGTTTTTTTCAATAAATTAAGCTTTGAGTTGTCTGTTAAAATTAGTACTGCTTCCTAAACTTACAGAAAGACTAATGGTAAGAGTAGCTATACTGGACATTTACATTTATTTTATAGATGCAAAGTATATAATTTAAGTTATTAATTTATCCTTTTCCAGGATGGAAAAGGAACAAGTGTGGACAGTTTTCAAAAAAAACAAGGAATAGCCTGGCCCTCATTAGTTCAGTAAGTATCCTCTTCCTCATTTCTCCCAGTGCAAGTTTAAAAAATCTTTTAGTTTTTGACTACAGTTAGCAGAGAGCGCCCAACAAAAGGGCACCAGACAGAGCTCCACATACCCAAGATGATGTGGAGTACCAGTTTCCCTTCTGGAGCCTGACTCAGAAAGAGTCAGGAAAGTCATTAGGGACACAGATTGGTATATAGTAAGCACTAAGTAAGTAGCAGTTTTTCTGATTTTTTTTATAGGATATGTGGCCATATATCTGAGGTCTCTCCCAAATATTCTAATTTCATTGGTCTAGGGAGGCATCTGGGCATCAGTGTTTTAAAATAGCCCTCTAGTGTGCAGTCAACATTGCAAAGTAGTGATTTCTACTACGGGGCATAACATGAGCTAGCATCAATTGTGTACTCATGGACCACATTGTCACACCGTGTTCTACAGGATTCTCATCCTCAGTTGGTCCTTCTGGCATTTATGACACCATTATTATGACCACAATGATAACAAAAATTAAATCACAAAGATACTAAGACAACTGCTCAATGCCACACAAGCTAGTGAATTACCAAAACTGGATTTGATTCAGAATCAGAGAAGGCAAGAAAATATAGTAAGCAAGGCCAGAAGAGTGCAGAAAGATTCCTTACATTTTCAAGTATCAGCAGAAGGATGCCGTTTAGCTACTCTGTGCTGCTGCCCTTAAGAGCTATTATGCCTTCTACCACTGTGATTGTTAATTGTGATATGTCAATGTGAATGGATTAAAAAATTCCTAACAGATTAGTGTATTATGGGCACAGTTCCTGGTGTGTCTGTGGATGATTGACATGCGATCCACAAGTCAATGAGAGAAGACCCACCCAAATGTGAATGGCACCTACCAGTAGGCATGGACCAAATAAAAATGGAAAGAAGGAGGAAGTGTTTCTGTTATTCTTGAGAGGAGCTCTGGTCTTCACCATTGCACATTCACTTCGTGTTCCTTCAGGCTTCCGTGCAGACTCTTGAGTCCTCTAATGCAGATCCTTTGACTTTCCCACAGAAATGAATGTCAGGTTGCAGGCCTTCAATCTTTGACGAGGTCCTCTGGCTCTCCAGTGCGAGACAGCCATTTTGTATTCTTCCATCTGTGATTCTGCAGGAAGTCATTATAAACCTACCTTGTAGATTCTAGTCTAGTCTAGCCTATTCATTTCTGTAGTGAACCCTAATAGATAAACCACTACTGAGGTTAGTACTCTGTGAGGGGGACAAATAGCCTGACCCTGTAGTATAACTGACAAAAACATGACCTTGTGTAGACATGTAAATCACTACTGAGTTTATGATACTATGATATTTGAATGAAAAGGACCAAACTGAACTAGAGTAATAAACATACCATCAAATTAGAATTAATGATCAAGATAGAGAAGAAGTGACAGGAAAAGGCAGTAAGTTGTAAGAAGATATGCGTAGAATATAAAAAATTTTAAGAATTGTCTTAATCCTAATATTCTAAGGAGGGTGGGCTAAGAAACAGACATTGATTTCTCACTGTTCTGGAGGCTGAGGAATCTAAGATCAAGGTGCTGGAAGACTTGGGTCTTGGTGGGGGCTGTCTTCTAGTTTTGCAGACAGCTGTCTTCTCACTGTAGTCTCACACAGTGGAGGGAGGATGCCCTGGCACGTTCCTTTCCTAGTACGTACATCAACAGCATCACAGAGACTCTGCCTTTGTGACATCATTTAATTCCTGCCAACAGCTGTACTCCTTCAAACCAAGACTGGCCAACCTGCAGGCAAGCTACAGACCTGAGTTAAGCAGACTTGTAAGTGAGTAAGATATGAGGATTATGAATTTCACAAGAGATAATATCAATTATTAATTAATGTGAGTATATCAAATTAAAAATCTTCTACATTGCAAAGAAAAAAGGCCACAGACTAGAGAGACATCCACAAAATGGAAAAAACATATTGCCAGCTATTTCTCAGATGGAGGATGGGTACTCAGAATACATAAAGAACTAAATAAAAACCTAATACTCTCCCCACCCCAAAAAGACCAAATCAAAAGTTTCCAGGAGAAATGATAGATTCTTTATAGAAGAAAAAATACAAATGGGCAGTAAATACATGAAGACATGCTTGAAAGTCACTGGCCATTACAGAAATATAATTGATACAACATTAAGGGTCCATCTTACCTCAGAAAGAAGGATCATTAACAAAAAAAAAATCAAATAACAGCAAAAACTGGAGAGACTGTTGAGAAAAAGGAAATTTTCTACATTGGTGTTGGGAATGTAAACCAGTAAAACTACTGTGGAAATCAGTATGGAGAGACCTCAATGAACTAAAACAAGGAATTTCACTTCACGCATCTAATCTTCTTGTAGGTGTCTTCCTGAAGGAATTGAAGACATCACATTACAGTTATATATGCATAATCATGGTTTTCAACACAACTCATACATAAATAGCTGGATACCGAATGTAGCCTATATGCCCATCAATACATGAATAGCAAAATAAAATGGGGCATTAATGCTCAGTGGAGTATTATTCTGTTAAAAAGGATGAGTTTGAGTCATTTGTAGAAAAATGTGTCTACCCTGAGATCATAATATTGAGTGAAATAAATCAGCATGCAAGTTTAAATATTGCATGCTTCATTTCAAAATGAAAGACTGATAATGGGAATCAGAGGGCTAGCTCTTTTGTACATGGGAAGGAAATCAAGACAAGGAGGGGTTGGATTGAGACAGGAGGAGAAGGGGAACAGAAGAGTTAATTTATGTTATGTACATTTTCAACTGTGCATGGTGAATGTAGTCATTATGAACAGCAGAAACATGCTAATACAAATTAAAGATTTAGGGGTTATAGATTAGGCAACTTCATCTCAGCAAAAATAGAACTAACAGAAAATAATTCAATGAATAATTGGAGAAAATCTCCTTACGTTGAAGAAAGATCTGAATTTTAGATGAAAATGTCCATTTGGTTTCAGAAAGTATTAATAAAAAAGCCTACAAATAAACATATCCTGGTGAAGCTTACAACTAAATTTTAAGCAAAGGTTCTAGTGTAAAAACTCTGTATGCATCCTTCTATAAAGAGGAGATACTATTTTTTAAAGAAAAAGAAACTGCTAAAATTTCTTTGCCTATCCAAAATATCTTTTATCTGTCAAGGAAAGAGAAAATGGGGCATTTGAGAATGTATCACTCAGGCACTTAGTTGAGGAAGACTTCTCGTATTTTGCCAATGGAATCAGATCATCTATTCCAAATCTGGGTGAAGAGGAGAGGAATAAAGTAATAACAACTTCTGAAATAATTAAGCCTCAGTAAGGGTTTAAAATTAACTGAGAATTTATTATGTGAAATTTTGAAAGGATAATGTAATAACGGGGAGAAAAGAAAAGCTATAGACTCCCTAAGTAAAACTCTATGGCAAAAAGCAGCATTGTTTGGTCCTTTTCAGTGGGAAAAATGGGAAATAAGAGATTCTTAGTTGTTTTTGATGGCAAAGACAGAAAGAGAAGCAGTGACCAGCAAGTACATTGGTTGAGAGTAGAATTATTATTTAATGTTGCATACTAATAGGATGTAAATGTTAAATTATTATTATTAAGGTTGAGAGTATAATCACCATGAGACTAATAAAGACAATTTTATTTCCAAATTACTACCTGGGAAGGGAAGAAAAGGGGGAGAATAAACAGCAACAGATAAACCAACAAAACTCAAGGCGAGGAAACAAAAAATGATGCATTATATTAAATGTTACACATAAAATAAGACAGAATAAAATCAATAATTCCAATAAAAGCATGTGGGCAAAATACCTGGCCATACACTGGGTGCTGGTTAAGAACAGTATCTCTTTTAATTAGTATTTTTAATTGTCCAGCATAAAATGTAATTTAAAAATTAGAAATTATCAAAGTTGTTTGTACTTTCTACATTTAGTTATGGAAAGTAATATTTATATTTTAGAGTATTAGTTATCTACCATATTCTTACTGAAGAAAGTAGTTTTATCTATCCAAATGTTTAGTTACTAGTTATATATAAAATGAACATTTAAATTTGTTACATAGATATTAAAAATTTGAGATTGTTTTACCAAATACTGGTCCTTTACTTGATTTTACAATGATTAATTTCCAAGCAATTCTTCATTGTCCCATAGAGTTTTGACTGGTTTCCTATGGGCATTATAAGATGTTCTTACTTATTTTTAAAATATTTGTGGCTCATTAGATAAACTACTCAAATATAGTACTCTATTCTTGCACTAACTGAAGAAATGTTTCATTTTTTTTAAAGGTGAAAGAAAGATTATTTTCTTAAATAATTTATTAACGGTATAAATTTTAATTTATTATAAGAGTTTTAATTTCTGAACTTTCTTTATTGAACTCTACAAAGGAATTTCAATGGGAAATGGGAGAATTAAGAAGTGGCCGTTTGGAAGTGGTGAACAACCAAGTAATATCAGTATTCGCATTTTAGCTCATTTCTTCCAAGTCTGAGCTTAAATCAGTCTTGTCTTTCAGTGTATTTGACTCACACTTTCGTTAAAATCAATCTTTTTTCCATTTTGTTCTCTTTTTCCTCCTAAACCTTAAAGAAGTTTCCGAACGTTTTTAAAATTGATGCCCAGGTTTATAAATTGCTTATGAAGATTCATTGTCAAAGGTAGAAGCCAAAGCAAGTTAACTTCTTTTCAGTGCTCGAAACTATTGTTTTGTGGGCCTCTGAATTCTGTTTCATTCTATAATCAAGAAAGATCAAACTCTCTTCTCACAGACTCTCTTCTCTGTGGTTTCCAGAACACAACACTTGGCTCTTTGGTTTTCTTCCCTTGTCATAGAGAGAACTATACAGCTTAAAAAAATGACTCAGTACTCTGTGGTTCATAAAAATGGCTAAAGAGATTTTGAGATGGGGTTTGTGGTTGTGCTTGTTCTCTCGTATTGATTTTTAAGGTGATCACAATTTATTTATGAAGGTGCGTGGTCTTGGACTTGCATGTGAATTGCCTTGAAGGTAAACTGGTCCTCTTACAGACTGAAAATGTTTGCAAATTGTAATAATTTATAGGAAATAAAAAGAAAGGACTTTTTTAGAGGCCTATCTTAACCGAGAGGTTGAATTATGTTAATGAGCTGCCCAGTTTCATTGGCTGTTTTAGCCTGTATTCTATTGGTGATAACACAATACCACAGACTAGGTAACTTATAACAAAAGTTACTTTTGGTTCATGGCTGTGGTTCAAGGTCAAAATCTTTGTATGCGGTGATGGCCTTCTTGGTTGGTCCCAAGGCTGTAGAAGGTTTCACATGCTGTAAGACAGGGAATGCGTGTGTGTCTTTTGGTCTCTCTTTCTCTATATCTCTCTGCACAACAGTACCTAGTAATCAGTCTGGGGGGCTCTACCCAAGAGCACAATCACTTCTCAATAACTCACCTCAAAACCCTAGAGTAGGATTAAACCCCCATCCTCTTGATATTTCACAATGGCAACTGAACTTGAACATGAGTTTTAAAGGAGACAAACCACGTAGTATCAATAGCAGTAGCCAACAACAATAGAAAAGAAAGCTTATCTTTTGGTGCTAGCCCAGAGAAAAATGGAAAGAGCTGATCATACAAATTGTGATTGAGCTGCAGTGGTACAGGGTGAGAAATGTGCTGAATTTGGGTGACTGCGAGAGCTGGTCAGCTCCTTGATGCTTCTTGACTTCTGAGATTACTTACAGTCTTTAGAAATGTCGCAGCTGATGCCTATCATATCAAAGCAGGATTGCTCTAGTTCTGGAATCCTGAGAGAAATGCATTTCTCACTGTGCAATATTGGCTCAAATTCTTTGGATCTATTTCAAGTATAGCAGATGACTAATCACTCCCGTCTGCTAGTTGATAATGGGATGTCTATAAATCCCTGTTTTTGTATGGTTACCTTATTGTGAAGTTCACGTCTTTTGAGGAACATTCACAACTGAAAGGCAAGGAAAATGTCCACTCCAGGGTGTAGTAAAGCTGACAGAGGGGAAAAAAACCCCACAGTAAATGACTAGGCTCTGTTGTTTTTTAGTTTCCTGAGAGACAGTGGCCTTGACCTCCATGCATTACTGCTTTTGAGATTGTAACAGCAGATGGTCTGAAATGACAGTTGGTGAAGAGAACTGAAGGTGTTTATAACATTGCAGTGTTTGCAGGTGACTTTAAAACGAAGGATTTAGAAGTGATAAAAAGTGGAGACTGGTGGTCGAGATGGTAATAAAGCCACTAGCTACTTTGTGGCAAGGTCTTTTCTTTTCATTGCATCTGATTGCAAATTAAAATGAAAAAAAAAAATTAACCCCAGGCAGAAAGAATATTCAGCCTCTACTTCAGTGACTATCAGAACAAAAAACCCATAGTCTTTGATTTTTAGATTTAATTTTTTCTTTCCCCGCTGGTTGCCATACAAAGAGATATAGCTCAATAAAATGAAAGATCCACAGTGCTGTGCTTCATAGCAAGTGCCTGGAGGGATTCCGAGCCAGGTTAATGGATATGATGGTTTTTCCTTCATTGATTTTTAAGATGATTATATTTTATTTATAGGCAAGAAAATAATAGTTAATCTTAGATTTATTGAAAACTTATTGCAAGCCTGCACAAATTGATAACACTAACAGTACATTTAGGGCAACAAAACTAGACTTGTCTTTAATCCTTTAAGTGCTGATGTGCAGGGAATCTATTGACTTGAAATTAAATGTGGTCTAACCCACAACTGAATCCAGCTGGGGAAGAGTTATGTTTTTTTC